GAAACATATAATATTTACACGTGCATTAAAGTCTCCAACAAAGTGACAAAACCTTGAACCTCAAAATACCTTCGATAGTAGTGAAGAAAGCCATAATATAGATAGCACGAAACATCATTTTTGTTATTGCTGGGGTACATGAATATTTGGGGTTTTTTGTCCAAAATAATTTCTTGGTCATATTTTTCTAATAAGTTAAATGACATCACATTCGTACAATTTTCAAATTTGTGATCGTTGAATCATATATTATCTTCCTATGAAACGACACCGAGAGTTAGAGCTGAAGTGCGAGGATCTGAAAGTGAATGAATCCAAAAGAAGGTCCCGTTATTGATGTTATGACCTCCTATTTATAGGTGTCGGAGAAAACAATTATATGTAAGGAATGAGTTGTTTCCATAATTGTCTTAAACAATTGAATTCAAATTATATGGTAATGAGTAATAAATGATTGCGTAAGGTCTTATGATCGCCCAAAGGCTTGAGGTCGGCCTGTTGTGTCAGTCGTCCGTCGTGTATGTATGTCGGCCGGCTATGATGGTTGGTCATATCTGCTTCCTAGAAATTTTTGGTTGTGATCAGGACGTGTGGGCCTTCACTAGCGGTCTTATGATTGACAAATCTGTCGTTCGACAGATTCTGTTGGACAAAAGATTTCATATTATGTCAATTGACCAGACTATAAAATTGATCGACCATTTGCTGATGAGTTCTTTGCTTTGTCGTTTGGAACTTCACTCGTGTGCTTCTGTTGTTAACCGTCCAATTTCTTTGAGATGCGTGTTGACATTGTTTAGTATACATATTAATTCCCCAATTTTTCTGCTTTTTGATGGCGTTAACTACGGTAATGACAGAAAAATTATAAAGCAGTAAATGACACAAAAACTGAGAAAATTAATTCAATAATAAACTCTTCTTGTTTTTTGTGTCCAGTGAATCATATAAATAGGGCTAGAGGTTTTGTGTTTTCCATTTTCTTGTCTGTACCCTGGTCTTTCTATTGACTCCATGGCCGATGGTTTGAGTAAGAAGAATATAGACATCCACCTTCTAACTTTGGAAGGCTTTCGGCTTTGCACATCTTCTATAATGGAAAAGAAGAGGAAAAGAGTCATTAGGAAAAAGACGAGATGGACGCCCAAAACTGAGTCGGTCAATCAGGTTGGCTTTCCGGACAGCAATGATGCTTGGTCATCAAAGAAGATGTCAGTGGCGGACCCTTGTCTAGCCTTCGGCCCGTATGTTGGTGCGGCTGCTATGGAAAGTAAGTGAGCCGCCCCTCCCTTCGAGGATGATCAAGAGGGATCGAGAGAAAAGTTGATTGTCAAGTAAGGACAGAGATGCCCTGGCTCAAGGGATAGGGGATTTTACGACTCTTTCTGAAATAGATAGATTTTTAGGTATTTATTTTGTTGATATTAAAATAATTCTTTTGACATTATTCTCAATGTAGATGAGTTGGTCGTTCCAGAGACTGGAACTAATGGCGGGCCATTCCGAAATGTTGTCGATTTTGCCTTGGCAGTCGTTGTTGTGCCTTTAGGATCAATTGCGACGCCTCCTCATGCAGTCGACCCAATTTTCTGGGTGTTGATTACCCATTTTAGCAGTTCCCAACATGAACAATTAGGGGTTGGCAATTATTTTTCGAGTCAATGGAGTGTCGGATGAAGGAGATAGTTGGTCCTTCAAGCCAAGCGATTGAGAATTCTGCCTAAACAGCCGCATCGGGAGTGGCTAAAAAATGTCGGATGAAGGAGATAGTTGGTCCTTCGAGCCAAGCGATTGAGAATTCTGCCTAAACAGTCGCATCGGGAGTGGCTAGTTCACTAAGAGCATTTGGAGGCAGAGGTCGCCACACTTCAGTGAAGGTCGACAGCCATTGCTAGTCTGGAGGGAGAGGTTACGTCGCTCCAAGGTTTTGTGAATGATGTGCGTGCTGAGTAGATTTCATCAAGATGTCGACCAGCTGGGGTATATTAGGCTCAGTGGAAAGTTGGTATTCCAGAAAATGTTTCAGAAGGGACATGCCTCGGCTGAAGTTGGTTGAAGCGGCAGAAGATCTTTTAAAAAATTTTTCTTTGTGATATGTAATCTTGTTATTTGCCATAAAAAATTATTTAATTAATGTGAAATGATATTTGGCATGACACTTATCATTATGTGACGTCTTAACTTCCACGCCCGCTTATAAATAAGGCCACTGCCTTTTATTCTTAACACTCTATTTTTTCTTCTCTACGTATTTCGATTCTTCTTTCTTTCTTTTTTTTTTTTTGATAGTTTTCTTGGTTTGTGATATGATGGCTTCCAAGTATTCCCCACTCTATTTGGCTTCTACGCCGCCACTGATGTTTCGCTTTTGACAGCGAGAGACGTGAAAGATATGCAAAGACGATACATTTTCGACGACAATATAATTCTTTTAAGAGTGCAGGAGTCAGAGCATGCAATGAACAACGTCTGTACTGACCTGATCTTCTACCGAGATCAATTTAAGTACGGCCTTTGATTGCTTTTATGCCCTAAACTCCATAGGGTTTTCAATAAATACACTGTTATTCCGGCCCAAGTGTTGTTGAACTCAATTGTTGCAATCATGACATTCGTCATCTTTTGCCACCCAGAGGGGATCCCTTGGTCAATTGAATTGTTCAGTCACTTGTACTCGTTCAAGGTCAACAAGAAAGGTTTTGTTATTTTTTTGGCTAAAAATAAACTCCAACTGCTTGGAATTGACAATAAAATAAAAGACTAAAGGAAAAAAATTTGTAGTCGGTTCTTTTCTGGTAATTAGGGGATTTTGATCAAAGCGGTTGATGCAGTGGGGGACAAATTGAATCTTTTGAAAGACCTGCACGTCGCTGAGGCGATGTAGAACAAGTGCCAACTTTCAGTGCCCCAATACATTGCTAAAGGAACTATCACCCGTGACTGAAGGGTGAGATGATCCGGGACCCTTGGCTAGCTTCGGACATAGTCGAAGCCACATGAGCAAAAGCAGTGAAGGAGATGTTGGTTGTTAAACAATAAACGCTGAAACTTCCTCCACCAGCAGGTAATCTCCTAGAAGGCATTTTCTTAGAAGATCAACTTCGTGTTGTCTCTGCGATGACCGACACCAGCAATGCAAAATTTGTAACATGTGTCTAAAACCTCTGTCGTGATCCAAATTATGCTCACCGGTGAGGTGACCATTATTACTAGATCTCATTAGGTTGATGCAGGAAAAAGTGGGGAAAAGAAGTGTGCTGTTGATGAAGGATATTTCGGAGAAGCTGAGGCCTCTAGCATTTCAACATGTCAATCCACCCGGCCAACAACCTCATTGTCATGTAATCCTTCACTGATTCCCACTGTACTGCTTGATTCTAGGCTACATGGTCCCCCCTCTTATTGACTTGGCAGAAAGGACGAGGGCCTCCCATACTGAGTTTGCTTCCACTTCAAGTTATTCTCTTGGTTTTCATATGCATCTTCTGGCTCCATCTGTGTTGTGTTTGAGGATTTCAAATTGACCCATCATCTGATTTCTTAATTCTTGAACATGTTGTTGGGTTTCTCGACCACTGATTTTTTATTGAATTCCATCTATATTGTGTCTCTCTGTTGTGTTTCTCCATCGAAATTTGCTTCGATTCGAATTTGTAGCGTGTCCACGCTCACCGCACCATCTTGTAGGATGTTGAATCCTAGATTGTCTTCTTATGAAGCACGCTCCGATAGTTAGAGTTGAAAGTAGAGAGATGAAAGAGAGAGCGACAGAGAGATAGAATGTAAGAAAATATTTTAAGTGTCAAAACACACAAGCGTGATGATCCAAAAGTGAAAGAATTCAAAGGAAGGTCTCTTTATTGATGTTCCAACCTCCTATTTATAGGGGTCTGAGATTACAAGTAGATGTAAGGAAAAACAACTTTTATAACTGTGTTAAAAAATTGAATTCAAATTACATGGTAATTAATAATAAATGGGGGCGTCTGGCCGATTGACCGAAACCTTGAAGGCCGACCGACTATGTTAGTCTACCGTCGTGTATGTGTGTCAGCCGGCTGTGAAGGTCGGCCATATCTTCTTCCTAGAGATTTTTTGTTGCCCGATCATGAAGTGTGGAACTTTGCTAGCAGACTTATGATCAACAAATCCGTCAGCCAACAGACTACTGGATAAAAGATTTTGTCGGTCAACATATTATGTCGATCCACCAGACCATAAAGTCGATCAACTATTTACCAATGAGTTTTCTGCTTTGTTGTCATGATTTCACTCGTGTGTCTTTGATGTTGACCCCCAAATTTTTTTGAGATGCTTGCTAGCATGTTTGTAGCATCCAATAATTAACTTAGATAATTAAAAAAAAAAGAAAATAAACAAACTAGTGCGGGACTTTATAACCAATTTTTTTTTCCTCATGTGAATACATATTTCACTTAATTTCCTCATCAATGTTAATATCAACAACAAAATATAGATTTTGTTTTATGTACAATAAATCATATGAAAACTATATAATTATCCATACAAAAATATCATGAAATCTTTTGCGGATGTTTTTATGTTAAACCCGCATCGCATATATAAGGGTCATTCTATACAGAAATGCATAATCTCCATCATTTGTTAAAATAAAGATGTATGACAGTGGACTCTATTTTGATTTTTTTTTATTTTTATTTTTATTTGTTGTGATGAGGGTGCCGTATGGAATAGTATGGAATAATTGAATAAATTTTCCCATTGCAGGCGCTGCGTAGCTCTAGTTTTGTACTATTATCTAACGTCAGGGAACTGTGAATGTATTTATGTTAACCTGCATCTCATATATAAGAGTCATCTTATACAGAAATATATAATCTCCATCATTCATCAGCAAAGATGTACATCATTCATCAGAACAAAAATGTATGACAGTGAAACTATTTTAGTTTTTAATTTTTTGTGATGGCGGTGCTGTATGGAATAATATGGAATAAATTTTCCCATTGCAGGCGCTGCGCAGCTCTAGTTTTGTACTATTATCTAACGTCAGGGAAGAAGCTGACCAACGTGCCACCAAAGCAAGAGCAGCGAGGCTCCCAAATTGTGTGGCACTGAAAGAAATGGGCAGCTCCAGCGATGAATCTATCGACTGGATTCGGGAGTTTAAGGTTTTCGACCTAATTCATCGTTTTCTTTCTCCAGTCTTCTCACAATCATCGAATGGTATTGGGCTTGGTTATTTCTTCGCTAGAAATGCAATTAACTATAAATGCGTTTTTTCGCTTATAGCCTGGTTCTAGGGTTTTTTTGAGTTGTATTTAGTTCTGCTTATTGATACTTCAGTTTTGTTCTAGGGATTTACTTGTAAGCTTGTAATTTTTATTCTTCTGATGTGTTTTGTGTGCCCTGCGTTGATGCTAGTTTGCTGTATTGGAGCTTGATCATAAAGCATACTTTGTTGGAAAAAAATGCGAATACTATTTAAATATAGAGGGCGGAAAAGAGCAAAATCTGATGTGTGTTGGGTGTCCTGTGTTGATGCTAGATTTTTAGCTTTGGAGCTTGATCAAACCCTATTATGAATATTAATTTTGCAGAATTATTAAAATACATGACAGTAGGACAGCTTTTATATATTCTATACAGGAACTTATGCTAACATCTTCAGGCTTGGGTCGTCTTGCGTTGCACCAATTCTCAAAGACCTCTTCTTCTCTTAAATAGTTTGGTGGAGTTCATGGAGGCAACACTAGATGGCACACCGTTCTGAAATATGATAGAAGTCAACCAAACTGCAACAATAAAGTTTTAAGTATCTGGCATCGGAAGAATCAGTTTGATAACATAGATAGTTGTATGCTTGTGATCATCTAACAATGTAGGCTGTGGCAGACAAGGGAGGATGAAGTTGTTATCAATGCGTGGAATCAAAATCTTCAGAGGAAGCGAAGGTCCTACAAACTTTTCCATAATATATATATAGGGTTCAGTATATGATCTAGTGTAGAATCAATCACACAATGCTGTTCACCGCATCAAAATCAGACTTGAGATCAAGTGAATATTATACTAGGTAGTTTTCAGTCATTAATTTCATTTTCCGAGATTCATCAGTATAGACTTCTGCTTAAATTTATGTTCTTTGGCTTTGGGGAAACTAAGGAAGGTTTGTTTTGTGACAAGTGATTGAATTTAAGATAATATTTTTTCACGTTTGATTAGAAAATTAGCAAACAAATGATCAAGAGACTACTTAATTTGCTCATTAAATTCATCACACGAAGGGAGAAAAATAAGAATTGTGTGCATGGTTTGTTATTAAAAAAAAATTTGGAAATGTTTCTACATAAGAGTGACGATGACAAACTTGTTGATTAGAATAAAGAGCTTGTGCGGGTTTCATGATCGAAGAGAAGGATATGAAGCATACAAGCTTCTTTTATAATATAGGGGAGATAATATGTCATTATTGCAATTATGGTAGTCGTGTGGGCCTAGATTAGATTGTGGTGATTGCTAGTTTCATGAAGGAAGAGAACGAGGGGATGGCTTCTAATGGCCGTCAGTTTATAATGCAGCTAAATGATATAATGAATAAAATTCAAGCAACAAAGATTTATGATTTATTTTATAATTAAATAAATACTTAATTTCCTTAGATCTAAGCTACAAAATACTAAGATTCACTCCAAGTAATAATTTAATAGTCATGAAAATCAATTTGTGCAAGAAATTTGGAAACATAACAATAATGTTTGGATCATGATTTGTGTTGTCAACCCAATTCATTAAATTTTGAATAAAATTAATCTTTTTTGTAAAATTATATAGAAAAAAAGTACAAGAATATAAATAGCCAACCTAAAGTTCAAGGTTTCACCTTGTAAAAGAATAATTTTAATAGACACTCAACATACGAACTATGTTTGAAAAATTACACATCCAAAAAGCTTATATGTTTAAGAGGAACTTATCATTTTATTAATCCATCAAGTATTGATTTAAGGCATACAAGCTTCTTTGAGAATATAGGGGAGATCATATCATTATTACAATTATGGTGTTCGTGTGGACTTGGGTTAGGTTGTGGTGATTGTTAGTTTCTTGAAAGGAAGAGAACACCTAGGGGGTGATGCAAGACATCATTTGGTTTTCAGTTTAAATTTTATAATGCAGCTAAATGATGCAATGCACAAAATTCAAGCAACCAAGAATTATGATTTTATTTTATTAAAGACCTATAATTAAATAAATTTCTATTTTCTTTAGATCTAAGCTTAGAAAACAAAAAGAATTCACTTCAAATAATAATTTTATAGTTCTCAAAGTCAAATTGTGCAAGAAATTTGGAAACATAACAATAATGTTCGGATAATGATTTGTGTTGCCAATCCAATATATGGCATTTTGAATAAAATTAATCTCTTTTGTAAAATTAATTATAAATCATGTAGAAAAAAAGTACAAGAATATAAATAGCCAACATAAAGTTTAAGGCCTTGCCCCAAGAATAACTTCAATTGGCATTCAACATATGCTCCACATTCAAAGAATTAAACATCCAACAAACATATAAGTTTAAGAGGAACTTATCATTTTATTAAGCCATCATTTATTGATTACATGCCTTAAATAATTGTAATTTATATCTATTTCCTAACGTTTAAGTCAATATTATTAAAAATCCTTTAGCACTCTCCAAACTCTCCAAAAATCATGTAGAAAAGCCATGTTTCTCCACATGAAACAACCCACATGTAGAAGAAGTAATGAATTTAGAAGGTCGGTTGAAGGGGCAACATCATGAAAACATAGGATTGACATCTAAACATATGAGCAATGGTTGAAGGATCACATGAATAAGTCTCTACAATATTATGTAAAAATGCACGAAAATAGTGAAAAAATAAATAGAGAAGTGTCATACTTAGAAGAGGCGGGGATTTTCTATAATCCCATAATTGTATTGGGCTGTGTGGGATCTCAAGATGCATGAAGTGGGGAAATGTAGATGTTGTATTATTGTATCTTTGAGATTATGCAAGGCCTAGTTTATTAGGGAATAGTAAATGGCTCATTGAAGGGAAATACGTGGAGTATGTCAAGGTATGAGGGAGTGTGAATGTGAAGGATTAATTTATCTAGGAGTTATAATGGTCTTTTAGGAAGTGAGGCTTAGTAAGTAATGATATTAATCAACTTAGGACTTTGGTAGTCTGATCTAGTTTATGTATGGTCTGTTTAACTAATTTATGGCATTTTTTGTCGATTCGTTCTAGTTTGACTCGTTTATAGCTTAACTATATTTGAACACAGCTTATACCAAAAAGTAGTAATAATTTGAGAAAGTATTTAACATAGATGTTGCAGAAGAATTCTTAAAGAAAAAAAAAAAACAGAAACAGAAAGTGTAAACAATAAAAATTAAAAATTAATACTGAAACTTGTATAAATTAATGACCGCATCAATTGAATTTTTTTTCAAGAAGATAAAATTTTGTGGAGCTGAAGTCCGTAATAGAAGAAAATTTGTAAAAATTTAATCATTATTGTGTACATTAGATATGGAAATTAATCCAAATAGTGATAATGATTCAGAGAAATCACTAAGAACAATATGAAGATCCAATTTCAGCACCAAAATAAGTATTTTTTTCAAAGAATTTGCTTGCTCTGATACCAAAGTATGCAGACAAAAAAATTATTAGCAAAATTTTGAAGAGAGAACTAAGAAGAGAAAATAAAAACTAAGATAGTCTGAAAGGGAAGTAAGAGAAGCATGTTTTAAATTTTTTTGAGTGAAGCTTGATTCTTTGTATAGTTTTGAATCTACTGAGCATTACTTCTACCCAAAAAGAGCGGGAAAATAAAGTGGCTGGCATGGAAGTTTGGAACTTTTATTTTTTTCATTTATTCACCAAAGTTAACTTCTTACACAACTTTCCATGTGTAATAAGAGGTAAGGGACTTCATATTTTGAAGCTTGCATGATTTGAAATGTAACTGCAAAACCATAGTGCAAGTATGGCTACATAATTGTTAAAAAGTTTGATAACACAACATCATCATGTGAGAACTTAATTAACATCTGCATATTTTTTTAACGTAGAGGCCATCATGTACTGCCTCATTTCCATATATGCGCTTATTACTATAGATATTGCAGTTTTGTAATTGTTAGATTTAAGGTTATAATTAGGTTAAGGTGATTTGACATATGATAATAAAGATGACTAATTTCTTAGAAATCAAATGTGCTTATAAACAACTAGATTGTGGGAGAGGAAAGACAAAATGTGAGGATTGAAAAATAAAAATCTTATTTAAAAATGACTAATAAATATTGACTTCGAAAGAATTAGAAAAAAACTAAATGAAGGCCAACTAAAGAAATATGGTGAATTTTTTTAGTGTAATATACTCCTCAAGGACCTTAGCTACAACAAAGTCTATAAATAGAAAGAGTAGAAGAGGATTAGAAGAGTTTAGTATGTTAGGGGATGCCTTTATTGTCTTGAAATAAATGAATTTACATTTAGGCAATGGTTTCTCATTATAAAGTTTTCCGCTCACTATTTTGCCCCTTTTTCTCTACTGGACAGCAAGTAATGCCCTTTGTTTTGAGTTTCCTTCAGCAAATAACCTCCTGTTTGCTATTTTCTTACTATGTTTTATTGAAAATAGCAAAATAATTTTCTTTGTTTCATGTAGAGTTGAACTAGCATTTTTATGCCTCTTGCATGTAGCAACAACAAAGGATAAGGTTGGCTCGGTTGATTCCGGTGCCAGCAAGAGCTGTAGACTTCTTGGCCCAAAATCAAGTGACTCAATCTCATTGCTGTTTTATGATCAGATGCCCAAATTGTTTATGCAACATTTTATGAATATCTTTAAAATGGATGGACAATTTGATCCCCAAAAGATTCTTCTCCCTTTTAGAAGAATTTCATTTATCTGAAATTTCTTTTTCATCGTGCTAGCAGGAGTTTCTTTTTTTGTCTATTGCCTTCTTGGTGAACTAGTTGAAACTTGTCCAAGTTTCTCAGAAAACCTTACTTTGTACTCATTTGATATTCTTTATCAATAACTTATGAGTCCTGGCATAACGATCAATTACATATATATCAAATATTTCCAATACCATATAATAGATGGAGTCTCTTGTAGTTGGTACACCTTTTTTGTTCGCTGTTGATATATTATTCCTCTCTGCGTAAATGCTACTTTAATATTCTACTCCATGACGATGCTTCTAATGTTTTATAATGAAAACCATAGATGCCTAACGAAAAGAGCTTCTATTTAAAGTTTCATTGGTATAGTATGTCGTTTGGTGTCGCAGTTTAATGAATTGATATATGCTTATTTTTTAATTTTTAATGGTGATATAAACTTGTTTATCCTTGATATTTCTCAGTTTTGTCTACTTAGTTTTTTTTAAATCCAAATTAATGTGATTTATATTTCTTTTCAAACAGGCACCTGATCGTGCTTTTGAGCTTAGTTCTGACACCTCTCCAGAAAGTACTCCGAAATCATCCCATCAAGCGGAGAAGCTTACAAACAAACACGAGATAATCCTTATTGAGAGCGGAGAAAATACTCCCATCTCTAAGTCTACAAAACCTAGGGCTCCAAAAAAAAAGACTCACACTCCAAAAGATGGTAATATGTCCATTATTTGCAAGTTAGTGGTAATCAATTTATGGGGCGTTTACAGACACACCACCCAATTTCTATGTATTCACGTACCTATCAGCTAAACTTTACTTTTTTACATTTATACCACCGGAATCTCTTATATGAGATCAAAAGTACCACTATTTCAACTTCGAAAAGGTGAAATACACCTTTGCATGGTAAGGTGGCATATATGTGAAAATTGAAGTATAGGTTTTAGATATGTAAATACATAAGAATTTAGTGGTATGTATGTAAATCTTCCTTAATTTATTATGTAGCTAAACTATTTAGGCAATAAGATTTTAATGTATTATGCTGCTAAAATATTTTGGTAGCATTAGTGATAGTCATTTTCCTTTTCATAACTGCTTTTTGGTTGTTTTTCCTCCCGTGACAGATGCGTTGGATGCACTGGAGGATGTGCATGAAGATACGAAAGCGAAGCCTGCTGCTTCTTTAGTAAGATTTCAACCTATTGTAGCGATAGGCTTGTCCCTTAAAATTAATTGAATTTCTAGAGGAAGTCATGTCTATTTAACTGAGGTTTTTATTTGTTTTATGCAATTTCAGTATGGATTGCTTTTACATGCATATATAGCCATTTTATTTTGTATTTTATTTTTTGGGTTGAGATGATGAACTAATTATTTCTTCTTAAAAATGAATATTTGACATTTATTACGTAGGTCTCTGAAGCATATCATAATAATGGAGCTTTTTTCTTACCATCCCATGTTATCTATTTTCCATAATGTATACTCATCACTATTTTTAATGATATTTTAAACTTCTGCATCTCATCAGAAAAATTTTTAATGTGTTTTCTGATGTTTTAGGTGTCAAGTCTGCCTCTAGTATTCCCTGACAAGGTGCAACGCTTAAAGGTACTGCTTTTACTCATTCACCAATCAAAACATGTTCTTCAGTGAAATTTGTCTAGTTCAATTAGCTGGTACTAACATGTATAAGTTATTGAGGAGATATGCATATAAAATATAATTGATTTTCTTTGTTGTTGAAAGTGTTCTTGTTCTACCTAAATAGGTGAAGAACTAAGGATAACATGCTTCTGAAGTTGTTATTTTTTTATAATGATAAATGAGGGAGAAAAATGATAGTATAGAACTTTTTCTTGGACAACATGCAAATGGGATCAAGATATATGGTTCAGTTAAAACCGTGTAAGCTTTTTATCATTGTCTTCGATAATATTTACAAAATGAATCGAGTATCCCAAACCCATTAGAAAATTAAAGAATGAACTTCACATTTTATTGTCTATTGCTCAATTTGTAATAAATTCATGGAGACTAAATTTTAACTTCAAAATTGCTCACCACTGAAGCTTGCTTTCAAATTGAGAATAGAAAGAGAGAACAAGTTTGAGGCATGTTAATTGCCTTGCGAAAGAGGAACATAAATAAGAGGGCTTGGAGTGGAGCTTTATAACTGATAGATCTAACAAGAGAGTCTGAAAATGTGAAAGTAGTGGGTTGGGACTCTAGAACTTTAATGGAAGAGTCGAAAAACTTCATAGTGATGAGAACTTAATTCAATGAGCACCTAAATAAGTCTGTAGATTTGGAATTTAAAATTGTACAACATGACGAAGATAGAGTGGGAGATACAATTGTAATGTTATGGGAGAGGAAAGAAAACAAAGGATGTAGATGGGTTCAATGGATGGGCTGAGATAATGGAGAACTTGTGGAGTAACTCCGAACTACTTAAAGAGTAAGTATTGAGAGGATAACTAATAATTGAGAGCAAGGAAGTTAGATTTAACTGTAGAAGTGTGGCCATTCTCCAAAGCTAGAGACCAAGTGGCTATTAAAATTTATAGTTTCATTGTTAAATTATAGTATTTTAAGATTAAGTATCTTATTTTTTATTTTTTTTTATTTTGAATCCAATATGTATAAGTTTTGATTGATTTGAACACGGATAAGTTGTTGTTTGAAGACCTCATCAATTGAAGTTGTCCCCAAACCACCATTGTCTGGCACTTGTCCCACCTCTTAAGATTGTCGTTACTAATAATTGATAACAGGATTATCCGTACACTTTATGGTTAGAGGAGGATATTGATTTGGGCATCTGTTGTTTCTAATAATTGATTTTAGGTGTTTGTTTTGATATGAATCAAAATTTCAACAAAAAAAAAATCCATAAATAGGGCTTGATTCTACACATTTTGGAGATTTATAATTAAGATAGAAGTCCTTATACCACATGAGATTTTAGAGCTTTGATTGTCCCCCGAAGAACAAACTTGTTCTCTAGTTTTTCCCATCCAACCTTTTGTGCCAATCTCGGGTGGCCCAACTCCCATTATGCTACTAGAGGGAAACAAAGAAGTCATTGAATTGATGCTTGGAGTTCTAGCTACTTGGGTTTGGTTTCCCTGATATAACCTTCTTCGACTCTAGGTAACCTAGCAAACACCCCCCCCCCCTAGCAGACAACTTCCAAGTGGCTATAAAAATTTGTAGTTTCATTGTTAAATTATGGTGTATTAAGATTAAGGATCTTTCTTTTTTATTTTTAATCCAATATGTACAAGTTTAGATTGATTTGAACACAAATAAATTGTTGTTTGAAGACTTCATCAATTGAAGTTGTTGCCACACCACCATTTTCTGGCACTTGTTGTCACTAATCATTGATAACAGGATCATTTGTACACTTTAAGATTAGAGGCGGATATTGATTTGGGCATCTTTTGTTACTAATAATTGATTTTAGATGTACGTTTTGATATGAATCAAAATTTCAACAAAAATAAAAATCCATAAATAGGGCTTGATTCTACATATTCTGGAGATTTGTAATTAAGATAGAAGTCCTCATACCACATAACATTTTAAAGCTTTGATTATCCCCTGAAGAACAAATTTATTCTCTAGTGTTCCCCATCCAACCTTCTTTGCCAATCTCGGGTGGCCCAACTCCCATTCTGCAACTAGAGGGAATCAAAGAAGTCATTGAATTGTGGAGAATTTCAAACTCTGACATATTCTTGGAGTTCTAGCTACTCGGGTTTGGTTTCCCTCTTCTTACCTTCTTCGTCACACACAGACCCAAAAAAAATAAAACAAATGTCGTCACTTGCTCAATCACTTAGTAGTTCAACCCTCTCTTTCAGAGTAAGTCCATTTTGATTACTTATAGTTATACATGTTATTTTTTATGCCTAGTCCCCAATTTCAGTGAGAATGATTGTCTAGACTGTCTCTAGTTGCTCGTTAACTTTAAGTCTCTCATCGGTTCTAGTTGCTCTTAAAGTTACTGGTTGACTACTATTTGTGTCATTTTTGCCTTCCAGAGAGTACCTGTTTGATCAGCTCTGGTGACCTCTACAACCTTCCCGCATGATTTTATCATTTATTTTGGTCATATGCCATCTCCTCCTCCAAGGGAGGATATATCCGACCATTTTTAGTGGCCTATTCGACCTTTGAGCGTTGCTTTTCCACCAACATCAGATTATGCTTTCTTCATCTCTAGAAGGACTGTCCCATTTTCCTCAAGTCAGCTTTCATCCTTTCAATTCCACTTCATTAATTGCCATTTGTTTTTGATGCCTTCGCCTTCTAGAGGACTGTCCAAGTAACCGAGATCATTACACTGCAAAGTCCATCGGAACTAGTAACATTGTAGTTTCACTTGCATTCTTTTGCCGCTTTCTTGAGTTTGGAGATGGGCATCACATTGTAGCTTATTTATTCTATTGAATTTCAACTAGGTAAGATCATAATTTTTTTTTTTTTTTTTGTTGCGATTTTTCAACAAAAAAGTGCTTTAGTATTTGCTATATTATTTCTAATTGTGTATGATGCTATTTGTATCTATGTTGATCTCTATCTCTTTAAGGACTTGATTTCTCACAATGATTTTTATATGGGTAGTAGTTTTGTAAATTGGATAGATATCGGTGGCCATTGCATAAATCTTCTTACTTTTAGAGCATCTTTTGGTATGTACTTTATATTTAAAGTGTGGTTTGCCTGCATGTAAGCTTTCAACATTTAAATTCTTTATAATATAGTATGAAACATGATTTTCAATAAATTTAAAGGGCATAAATTTGGCAAAATGTCCTTCAATTTAATATTAATATTGGCACTTCTCATTTTCCAGTGAATCTCTTGTGCTTACATGGCTTTAAGATGCCTTTATTTTATGCAGGCACTTGTAGAATGTGATGGGGACTCCATAGATTTAAGTGGTGATGTTGGTGCTGTTGGACGAATAATAGTTTCAAATGCCTCTTCTGGGAATCATGAATTGTTTTTAGATTTAAAAGGTATTGGTTGTAAGGCTTCAAAGAGTGATTTTTCAGATCCGCTTTACGTAGAAAATGAAGCCTTCTTTATCATTTTCCATTTGACATTTTCTTGGTGGCAGCTCTGAACCTCTAATCAAGGAATATAATGTGGTTCTCTTCTGCTTTTTCTCCTCGTGATGTTCTTTTGAAAGCAAAGTCGTGATAGAAAAAAAGGAACCATTCAATTCATTTATCATTTGCAAATGTTAACGACATTTACATTTTTAGTTAAGTTAATGTCTTTGTGATCTTATCCCACATTCTGTAAAAGAACTTAATTTACAGTGGCATTTACATGCTTACCCCCCAACTCCCATGTATTTATATGTCTAACACCTAAACTATACCACTCAAATCTTTTATATCACATAAAAAATACCACAATTTTGACTTCTAAAAGTGAAATACATCTTTTCATGCATAGGTATGGTGACACATACGTAAAAATTGAATTTTAGGCGTTCGATATGTAAATCCGTGGGAATTTAGTGGTATATATGTAAATCTTCCTAATTTATAACTTCAAGGGCCTGTTTGGATATTTTAAATTTCAGTGAAAGCTGCAGAATTTTTTGTTGTCCTTGTTTTTATCATGAATTCTAGTTTAAGTAAAATAAACAATGACATTAATGTACTAAATTTCCTGCTCGATCAGACCACATTGGTGCAGTATTGATCGAGCAGGGGGTTGTCTGCCTGAGGAAGATCTTGTTTATGGGATCCATCCTTTCATTTTCTCTGCCTCTACTTTGGACCCTACAGGCCTAGCTAAAATGCTCTTCCCTCTACCGTCTTAGTCACAGGGATGACCAGAAAATTATCCAAATGACACTAAACTATTCAGGCACTGTTGACTTTTCATACTTTAATCCCCCTGATCCATGGGACTTTTTCTGTTCTTTTCAAACGGGCTATATGCCAACAAGTATTTCCTCTTTTTTTTTTTTTCCTTCGTATGACAATCTTGATTTGTTTTCTTATTATACTTGGACTAAAGCTTGTGTTTGCTAGAAATCAGGTTAAGCAAACTTTTATCTTGTAATTTTAGATGACACCCCAAATATTAAACACATGATTCAACCTTACTGAAAGCGTTTTTAGGCCTTCAATCTAAATGCTATTTGGTGCTTTTGATGGGAATGGTTGGACAATTGCTTCACATAAAACAGAAAATTTTTGGATGGATGGAAAAGTAATGCTTTTTTTTCTTCATGCCATGCATGTGTTCTCGTACCTTCTTCCAAGTCCTAGTGCCAAGTTTTTCAAATTTTAGCTTAATTTAACTCTTAAAACTACAATACATTAATATAGTGATGTTTTCCTACTGAGGTCCTGCATTTCATTTCTTTATGCTTCATTTTATTGGACTGATATCTTATTTCCTTTTCTAACTTTTTTGCGTCTAAATTCCCTTGAAGATGATTTAAGCTTGATTAGTATGTTTGTCAATATTTTATTAATTTTTTTATTACTTTCTTTTTGTGATAGGGACCATATATAAGTCAACGATAGTTCCTTCAAGGACATTTTGCATTGTATGTGATCTTCACAAGAACAGAAAAGATAGTCTCGATCTATCATTCTTGCTATTTAAGTAGTAGTGTCTCTGTTTTTCCTTTCATTCCGGCTCCTGACTCTATTGCTGTCTATCTTCTTTTCTGCTCAGGTTAGTGTTGGTCAATCAGAAGCAAAGGTTTGTTGGCAGAGCCTTAATGGAATTTCCTCGAACTCTTTTCAAGGTGTTTCTAACATTTTTAGTACTGGATTTAATTGACTAATTACATGTAATTGAATTAAATGAAACCTATACGAACAACTGATCTTCTAACCTTTTTGCTTGATTTGCTTAGTGCTAATTTTACCTCTGCACGGAACCATCTAGTTGACAATGTGTTCTTTGCAGATTAAACTTGTGGCATTTACGTACAAACTACACAATTCTCATATATTCACACATCTAACTCCTAAACTTTGATTTTATACATTTATAGCACCCAAAATTTTCATATCCTATAAAAAATACCATCATTTTAACTTTTTAAAGTGAAATACACCTTTTCATGTATTGGTAAGGTGGCTTATATGTGAAAATTGAAGTTTAGGTGTTAGACATGAAAATACATAGAATTGAGTGTATGATGCATTTGAATCTTTCATTATACTTCATACTAGTGATGCAGATACTGTGATTATATGATGTACTCATTAGATCAAATGATACTTTTATTAATTTTAATTTAAATACTTCTGTCTAATTTTGAATTGTCATTTGCAATTTCTTCTTTCAGTTAAATTCATTGGAATTGATAAGCAACACGGTACTGAGCTTTTATAGCGTGATAAATGTAGTGCATTTACTTATGGAAGAGGTCCAGAGTTTTAAGTTTGACATAGTTATGAGAGTGTTCATGGAAGAAAAGAGGAAGAATAATATTTTGTAGTTGCATGATACTTTTAGCCATATTGGATGAATTTATCACTCAAAATTTGACCTTTGATGTTGTAAATGTTAGCTATGATAATTTCATATGTTTAAGCAACATGAAGATAAACTACATATATCATTCATTCTTTGGAAGCTGCTACGTGCATTTTTATGTTAGTTTTAAATGTTTTCTTATGTCCAAATTATGATAAGTAATAACTACAAGGGAACATTTTCCGGGTGATATTATGAAGTTACACGAAGGGTTGATGGACAGGAGTTAAAGAGAAGGAGAATGGTATTTGAAATTGTTTTGGTTTTATACCAAAAAGAAAAAGCATGTTATTTTGATTTGAAAGCTACTACTATAAATTTATACAGAGCAAATAAATGTATCTTGATATTACTTATCATTATCTTAGAGAAGCATGTGATTGAGTGCTTGAATTTTGTTAAATTGACGGGAATATTTAAACGTCAATGCTATGGGGCAGGAAGTTGTTATGGATATATGTAATGGGGATGATGGCTAGCATTTGACGTAATTGTGGAGTGAGAGACCAAAAATTCACAGAAGGGTTATGTTAGACGAAAAATTAAATAAATACCTTTTAACACTGTTATCGGATGCTTTTATGTTAGATATTCAAAGTAATATGCTTTGGTGTATTTTATATTCATATGGCATTCTAATAGAGTCAGTTTTGAACTAAACGAGAAGTCAATATTGAAGGACGTAAGAAGATTTGGAGCTTAGGAATTATAGAACGAAATCAAGTATATGGCATGTACTTAAATGGATTTGTGAATATAAATGCCAGTCAGTAAGGTTGGAGGATCAAGTTGATGCCTGAATTGTATAAGTTTAGTGCCATAAGCTTATGGCATTCTAATGGAGTAAGGTTAATTGAATTACACGAGAAGTTAATAATGGAGGACAACAAGAAAAAAATTTGGTGCTTATGATTAGTAGAACAAAAATTAAGTACATCTATGTATTATTTGAAATATGCAAAATCATAAAGACGAATCAATAAGGTGAAAATATGGAGATATATAAGTATATGAAGGCAAACTTGCTGAAATGAGGTGCCTCTTAGCTTCCATGCTATAGAACATCACGAAGATTTATTTGAACTTTTCATAAATTTGCAGTAAAAATGATTATCATGTAATTTGATTGTTGGACAAAAAAAGAATGTCTAACGGTCAACTTAAGCATTCAAAAAATAGGAATATTAGATGGACGTTCTAAAATTAGTGGTATTATAGTTCCCATGATCACATTATAGACCATCCTTTAATAAATGATTTTATAAAAAATAGATTAAATGATTTGTGAATGCAGAGCAGAAGATGCACTATTGTATAGGATACGAAGGAAAAGCTACATGATACTGGTTGATGATGAGTAGCAGGAAATATTTGCATTATAAGTCGGACAAACGGATTTATGTAAACTAGTATTAGCACAATATGCGACATTTAATGTCAATAAAAATTTTGATAGATCATGAGGCTGAGAAGCCTAAATTATTGGGATGAAATCAATGACATAATGGTGATGATGATAAGCTTTGTATGTATTCTTTAAATTTGTTTTTGCCCTTATTTTACTAATCAGGGATGCTGCCTGCACAGATAGAAGCCGTCATGAATGATTTCATCAGGTTAGAAGCTAAGTCAAACTTGTTTGAAGCTGAAACAATGATTGAAGGCAAGGTTTCTTTTCTTATGATCGTTGATTTCCATTATTCACTTGTGGATTTGCAATCATCTGCTAGATATTTTATCCTTGTAAATCTATTTTCTAATAAATCCTATCAGGGTACTTCAGCTCTTCTGTTATAGTTAAAAACCTAGTTCTCATATTTGGTTCTTTCAGTGTTCGATATTGAATGCTTGAAAGCTGGCAGAATGTATATTTCTTTGTTTTTTCTTCCAGCTTTCCTTAATTATGCCCAATCCTTGAACTTACAAATTATTTTGTTTTGTTAATTCTTGATTTATTTGTATGGTATGCATTTCATAATGTAAACCTATTAAATAATCCAGGTACAGCAGGTTGTCTGACAGATATCTATCAGATTGAGTTTAATAGATTTGTTATCTGAACTTCCAACTATCTTAGGGTGCTTTTAGCATGATAGTTTATAAGAAAAAAATCCTTACAAGGGGCAACAGATAGATATATATTGAATATTATTTACGGCCTATCTTCTGCGTAAAGGCTTAAGACAGTGCCAGATATGTATGACTAAATCATTTAGTCATTCAGCTTCATGTTAATTGACAGTTACATGTTTTATAATTGGAACCTTTTAATTTTACTTATTACAGCTTGCAATTCTGTTTTCCTGGCCCTATGTATACTTCTCTTCAAAAAATAAACGTACCTGCTAATTAAATGAGCATGCAATAAATATAAAATATTCAAAAGATTACCTTTGACATTATCCTTGCAACATGATCTACTTTGAGCAGGGACGCTTGATGGATTTTCTTTTGATTCGGATGAGGAGGGGGAGAAAGCTTCCAAGGCTTTTCTCCAACAAGGTGATCCCAACAATGATAATGAAGTCCAAGGAAATAAAAGAGGCCGAGGAAAAACTGAGAAATCAATGGTAATACTCTGGCCTAATTTTCTTACTGATGTTTTCCTGCCCAATAAATTCTAAATTTTTATTTCTCGAAGACAGCATTCTGACTAAAAAAAATTGAGAATTATCTATTACTTGTAAGTGTTCAAAACTTCTTTGATCAAATTTTATTCGATTTATTTTTTCCTCGAAGTTTTCGTTGCCATTTTCTTGTTAATTAGTGTCAAAACAACTTGGATTTGCCACGTTCCTTCCATCATGTTTCCTTATTTTGTGGTAGAACTCTAGCTTGCCTATTATTGATTGAGGGCATTGATTTGGAAGAAGTCATCTGTTTATTTTTTCTAGTTTTTGAAGCTATGCAGCATGTTACCTTGGAAGATAGTTGTGCTTACTCATCATCATCACAAGCCTCTTCCCAATTATTTATGGTTACCTTTATGATGCCTCATGATTATATGAGTTCTCATTTTCTATTCATTCTTGTGAGTGCTGCATAAGGTGCTAAATTTATTCTCTTTTTACAATGTTGGCTATGGCATGCTATTTTTCTAAATCTCTCAAAAGTAGTTCTAATTATCTTTCGTATTGATGCTTCTTCTTTCATTTTGTATGCCCAAATTTAGTATAGGGAAATTTAATACATACCACACAATTCTTATGTATTTACATTTCAAACATCTAAATTATAATATTTACACTTAAAACAACTTGGTGTTATGAACCTACACATGAAAAGGTGCATTTCACTTTTATTAAGGTATTGATGGTGGCATTTTTTGTCGTGTTAAAGATTCGAGTGGTATGCATCTAAATATGAATGTTTAGAATTAAATGTATAAATAAATAAGAATTGTCTGGTATGTACGTAAATGCCCCTTAGTATTTTTCTTACGAGCTTTTCATTTAATCGGTGCTATTCCATTTGCCCCACATTTCTAATCAAATTCTAAGCTATCTTTCATTTTTAATTTCTATCACTCAATTTGGCTATATAAGTTCCTTGTGGGCTTTTTGGTTGCAAGCAAGATTTAGCGTAAGCAGGATTTAGTAAAATTCATGAATCGTTACGCTCTTGTTGAATCTAGTAAATCCGGTTCTAAGCTAAAACTAAGACAAAATTCGGGTCCTTACATCCAAAAATTCATAAATCCACGAAACTCGCACATTTTTGGTGTTTGGCTGGATTTTGTAAATCTGGCGATAAATCCTGTTAATAAGCGCTACCGAAGCTCCCGTTAGAGATCCATCCTACAATCTGAATCCATAAAGAACAGGTAGTGTGATTATAGTTTTATCAAATTCATCTACCACTCCATGATAAACACGAGAATTTTATGACTGTAATATATGCATAGTTAATATCACACTAATTTCAGTGTATATGTGTAATTTTTGTGAGTGCTCTTTTATATGATATATTGCTTTTGATAGGGTACTCCAAGCAAGAAAAAGAAAGCTTCTGCAAAGACACCCAAGAAGGCAGCAAGAAAATCTCAAGTTGCAAAAAGGACCAGAAAATCTAAGAAATAAGGTAAAAAATAAATAAATAATAATTCATTTCATTGTAATTTTATTTTTTTTCATTGAGAGACATTCAAACAAGAGAGTATAGATATTATTTTTCTTCTCATCATATTCAGTATAATTTAAATGTGGCAAAGCACAATGCGAAATGTTTGGGCCATTCGTTTAATGTATAAATTTATTATAATGAGATGGTTGGGTATTGTTGAAGACAATATGGCAGGTAGGGGTGTAAACGAGCTGAATAGCCCAAGCTCAGCTCGTGCTCGGCTCGTTTATTATTCGAGCTCAAAAAATGTGTTCGTGTTCCGCTCGTTTGCTTAGCGAGCCGAACATGAGTCATTTACAAACAAAGAGTTGTTTTGACAACCCTAATCACGTAGCGATAAGATGTTAAGGATTGGAGCCAGATTTAAAAATTATTATTTATATTAAAACATCATTTGAATCTAATTTAACAATTTTAATTCTAATTTCTTAAGTAATACTTTAATTGATTATAAATCATTGTAGTTTTGTAGTGAATTATTTTTTTTTAAAAAATACTACTCATCAAAGATATATATATAAAATTGATTAGTAGTATTTCGAGCCAAAACGAGCCGAACACGAACGAACAAATCTTGGTTCGTGTTGTTCGTGTTTGGCTCGTTAACTTAGCAAACGAGGCGAACACGAGTTTCTTAACGAGTCGAGCACGAACTTTTTGCGAACAATGAGCCATTAGGGCAGGAGCAATTTTATATTTATAAATTTATTATTATCAGATGGTATATTGATATTAAAAAAAATCAATAAAATTAAAATATATTTTTACATGAGTAATTTTATAACATTAAAGTATTATAAATATAAATATTAAATTTTAGATATTATATGGAGAGAAATTGTGTGGTGTGTGTGTAACCTTTTTGGGAAGAAATTTCAAAGCATTTTGCCTCCTTTGATTTCAGACGCCTCCTTTGTCCATGCAAAGGCTACATTTACCAAACGTTTATTTTGCTTGTAAGCCATACAAATAAATACTCTCATATGTAGCTATCCACGTTTGTGCTAGCATTGTTGTAAATTTTAAGTCATAAAAATAAGCAATATGCAAGATTTAAGTGTTATAAATGTAAAAAATTAGAAGCATGGTTGTTAGACAAGTAAATTCATAAGAGTTGTATGGCATGTACATAAATGCCCCAAAGAATAAGAAGGGGATTTAAGTGCATAAAGCCACTTATTTCCTGTATAAATTTGAATGACTCTACCCTTAATACTGTACAAAAGCATTATTTTATTTTCATGCGGACAACCGCATGTTTATCATTAAAATCATCAGCTTTTTTACATGTAAAAATCTGCCTTAAAGCTTAATTTTATGAACTCCTGCGTTTTATATATTTATATATTGGATAATTAAGTAGCAATTTAGTATCTTAACCGCATCAAAATATTTGCATTAATAGCTGTTTTTCAACGTACGACGACGACAACAAAACCTTTATCCCACTTAAGTGGGGTCGACTGACGTATTTCACTGTATTCAAATCATACAGCGCGTCGCCTCCAGGGGTAGCCCTAACACTTGCACAATGATCAAAAGGATTCAATTTAGACAAATTTTACGCTGGCTGTCGATTACCTAACTCAACCCTCCACTTTTCACATCCAGACTTATGACCGGTGATGACATTATTGGCTTTATTTCAATATAAATAAGTAAATATTGTAAATACATATAACTGGTTTTAACTTTCATAAATAAATAAGAGATAAAAATATGGGATAAATAATTAGTTGTTTTGGCCCAATATCTAAATCTATTATTGTCATAACTATTATTTTATATCCCACATCTTATAAAAATATTATTTACAAATATTTTGCCTAAAAGAGCATGCAATCATTGAGAGAATCATCTCAATTAATCTTAAAGTGGACCACTTCTTTTATTTAGGACACGGTCGGTGTTTTGAAATATTATAAAATTAATAAAAATACATAATAGTATTATTTGTTAGGGGGGTAATTGCATAAATACACCCCATTTCCTATGTATGTACATATCTAACACCTAAATTTTGTCTTTTTTATATTTATACCATCCGAAAGAATCTTTTTCATGCATAAATAAATTGTCATATATTTAAAAATTGAGGTGTGGGGGTCGTATATGTAAATACATGAGAAATGAGTGGTATGTAGGTAAATCATCCTAATAATTGTTTGATTGGAAGATTGTTCAAGTCAATTGGGGAATTATGGCCACTGTGGTGAAGCTCTAAAAGCCGTGTACGCATTTTCAAGCTATTGACTACAAGGAATGAACCCTTTTTATTTATTTATTTATTTTTGTTTATTTTTTTTTATTTTTTTATGGCAAGGTATGATGAATGCAATCAAACAAACTAAATAAAAATGAGTGTATTTAGAGTTTATTTATGGTATTTATTTATTATTATTTGCTATTCATATTATTATCAAATTCTTTTTGATATTTTTTTTTCTTTTATTTTTTTAGAAATACTTTTTATGAGAAGCTGGTTTTTATTGATTATAGGCCCGTTTGGGGCAGCTTATTGGTGCGGTGGCGTTTTAAAAATGCACATGACCTGTTTGGGTAAGCTGTCTTTTCGCAACTTATGAGTTTTCAAAATGCTGAAAACAACTTTTTTTACTCCGCATCAATCTAGGTGCGGTGGCAGAGCTTTCTGGCTGCAGACGGACTTTTCCAAAAAAAAAAAAAAAAATAAAAAATATGGTATTTATTTTTTATTATTTGCTATCCATATTATTATCAAATTCATTTTGATATTTTTTTTTCTTTCATTTTTTTAGAAATACTTTTTATGAGAAGCTAGTTTTTATTGGTTATGGGCCCGTTTGGGGCAGCTTATTGGTGCGGTGGCGTTTTGAAAACGCACATGACCTGTTTGGGTAAATTGTCTTTTCGCAACTTATGCGTTTTCAAAATGTTGAAAACAACTTTTTTTACTCTGCATCAATCTAGGTGCGGTGGCAGCTTTCTGGATGCAGTCAGACTTTTCCAAAAAAAATAAAAATTTATAATAGCCACTGCACCTAGCTAATTAACAAATTATTTTTAATCAGCAAATTATTCAATAAGCTGCAGCTGCCCCAAACACACTATATATCAGGTAGAACAGTTGTGTTCTTACCCGTAACATAATGGTTGAGAGTGTAGTCTTCCACCGCGAGGTCGTGGATTATAATAGTGCATTTTGCTCTTTGGGCTCACCTTTTCCAAAAAGAAATGTGCTCCTCTTGATTATGAAATTATAGGAAAAGATGCATAACCAATATAATGTTTATCATTCCTCATTTTGCTTATTAATTAATATTGCCACATTAAAGTTGGAAGCAAGGGCAAAAATATGAAACACCAAATTAAGAAGCCTAACCTTCATGCCAATATCATATAACAAATTTATTGTGAGGGTTGAAGCCTCAACATCTATTGAAGCTTTATAGCATTTACATACATTCCAACCAATTGCCATGTTATTACATATCTAACGTCTAAACATTATTTTTTACATTTATATCATCCAGATCTTTTCTATCAAATCAAAAATATCATTATTTTGACTTTTAAAAAGTGAAATACACATTTTCATGTATAGGTACGGTGACATATATGTAAATATATAAGTTTAGGTACTAGATAATGTAAACATATAGGAATTGAGTGGTGTGCATGTAAATCTTCCAACTTGATAATGAAAATGAAGGGACTCATAAAAAGTGAGATAGCTTGGAAGTCCAAACAATCTCAAATGTAGTGTGGAGTATATCTCCATTTTATCATGGAAGATTTGCATACATACCATTTAATCCATAAATATTTACATATCAAACTTTGGTTTTGTACATAAAAGCCACCTTATCTATATATGAAAAAATGTATTTTACTTTTTAAAAGTTAAAATGACAGTATTTTTCAAGTGATATGAAAGATTTGGATGGTACAAATATAAAAAAGTAAGACTTACTTGGTAGATGCATAAACACATAAGAATTGGGAAGTATTTATGTAAATACTTCTTTTATCACTTTTTAGGCACTGAAATTCTTTTCATTTAAAGAAGAGTTTACCATCTTAGTATTGAACAATGCTTTTTTATGCACAGATAAGTTGAGAAAAGCATATAAACTCTTTTATCACTTTTTATTTTTTTTAATGCAAACTTGAATGTAAAAAAAAGGGTTAAATGATGATATTTGAACGTTAGACGCTAGTTTTCGCTAAATGTTCGGCAATGGTTTACAAGTGACATCAACATTGTAACATCAAAGCTCAATCAATAGAAAATGATTTTGCTTGATCATTTTTCTTGTAGAATGAGAGATTAATCAACCAAGAAGAGATGTGTTAAATGTTGGTGGCCAGTAAACGTAAGATATGAGTGGGTGCCAAGTGTTTATGATTATGATTATCAATGAATTAATGATGTTGTGAATAAAATGTTTGAGAAGGCTTGTTGCATAAGTCAATTATTGATACACTTTTATCCTCTACTTTATCACAGATCATATGATGGTTGAAGAGGACCTTTGGAGGTTTTGAGAAGGGAGGTGATTTTATTCAATTTTTTACTTTATAGGAGGGGAGACAATATAAGTGGGAAATCTTATATTGAGCATATATACTCAAACAATTTTAAATGACATCAACAACATACATCCATGTTGGTTGACACGTGTTGCCTAGTGGTGATAATGGCGGTCATCAGTGTTGGTTGATGAACAATGTTAGGTATGTGGATAATGAATGTTGGTATTTGTTGATAAAATGTGATGATGTTGGTAGGCGTGAAGTTTCGATGTTTGTAGATGATGGATGTTGGCATTGATTGATGACATACATCGATCATAGTTACAACCGATATTGGCCTCAGTCAACAACCAACATTGACATGCAGAAAATTTAGAAAAATATCATACTCCTACGAATATATGAAATATTAAAAGATTGCATTGATCCATGATCAGAAGATATACTTCTATAAACAAAATTTGATTTTTTTTTTTAATGTAATTAATCTTTACTCTATAATTTATGTGACTAAAAACAAACAGAAGAAAAGCTATCATGTGGGTCCTGTAAATGAACATATGAAAAAGCAATTTTGGCATGCAGTGAT